CCCCTCCCCCGCCACACACACAGAAAATCATCGACGTTTGCAGAAGCAGAGGCGAAGTCGTTGAGTAGTGGAGCGTCCGAAGGAAATGGGCGGTCAAAAACATTGCTGACGCCTTCTATGCGGCATGGCGCTGGCAGAAGGCCTTGATGCGCTCCACGGCCTCACGGTACACCGAAACCGGCCGCGTCGTCGTCACCCGCATGAAGCCTGGCAGGTTGAAGATGCTTCCTGGCAGCACCTGAACGTTCTCCTCTTCCAGCAGCTTCTCAAAGAACTCCACGTCGGTCTTGATGTCCTTGAACTTCTCCAACTCAATCTTGGAAAACACATACATCGACCCCTGCGGCATCGTCGGCACCACGCCAATGCACTCAGCAAGGTGCTCGTAGAGGTACATGGCGCTCTGCTCAATCTTGCTAACGATCCCGTCAAAGTACTCCTGCGGGGTGTGAAGCAGGGCTTCGCTGACGGCTCCCTGAGCAAGCGTGTTTGGTCCGCAAACCAACATCGCCACGCGCTTCAGGCCATCCAGGAACCCGCGGCCCGTGCCGTGTGGATCAACGTAGATCAGCCAGCCCAGACGCCAGCCCGGAACAACGAGGTTCTTCGCAGTGCCTCCCAAAATCACACGCGGCACCGTGGAGTCGAAGTCGGCCACGGAGGTGAACGTCGCGTTGGGGTCCTTGCCCTTGAAGACCATGCCGGCGTAGATCTCGTCCGCGAACATGGGCAAGCGCAGCTCCTCGGCAAGTCCGCACGAGGTCCTCAACGTGCTGGCGGCGGAAGTTGCTGCCGCACGGGTTGGACGGGTTCGTTATCACAATCAGCTTCGTCTTGTCGTCCTTCACTCGCCGAATCTCGTCCAGGTCGGCCTCCCAGTTATTGTCCGCCCGGCAGTTGTAAAAGTGCATGCCGATGCCGTACGCCTTGCACACCGTCTCGTAGTGCGGAAAGCCTGGCTTCGGCACCAGGACGTAGTCGCCCGCGTCGCAGATCGCCGTGATGGCCATGAGAATGCCATGCGAGCCGCCAGAGCAGACCACCACGTTATCCTTCACGATTGAGCTCTTCAGCTGCTTGTTGTGGACAAACGAGTTGCGCCACCACGTCGCAATGGCATCGCAGGCTTCCGGTGCCCCCACAGTTGGGAGGTAGCCGTTCCAGTCCTGCGAGTCAACCACCTTCTTCAGCTTCTCCAGGTGGTTTCCCGGCGTGAGAAGGTTCTTGTCGAGTGTCGGGTCACCGACGGAGAGCTTAATGATCGGCTTGGGGGATGGCGACGGCTTTGCGTTGTCCGATATGGAACGAATGGGGTTCACGACGAGGCCCGCATGGCTCGACATGGAAACATCCCAAGAACCCATCTTCTGCGTTGGCATTGTCTTTGTTGTTGGTGATGGCGTGCACAATTAAAAGTTTTACTGATGCTTTAACAGAACTGACCATTCCGCAACACCACCGCAGCCGCAGAGAAACACCGCGCGTAAGCAGGGCGGCGCCAACAAGAACAAAAGAAAAAGAAAAGAAAAAATCGATGGAAGCTGACGCGCAGACAGACACACGCGCAGACAGACAGACGTGCAGAAAGCAGGAGGCGTGGCAGCGGGCGGCATGCCAAGTAGAGATGTGCTGGTAGGGAGAACAAGAGAGATTCGCCCACCATTAAATTAAAAAAAAAAATGTTATCAATGCCTTTCAAAAAAAAAAAGAATTGTTATTGACGTCTTGAAAAATGAGAAACAAAAAAAAAACATCCGTCACACGATCCAGCCTACTGGTGATTTGGGCCGGCAAAGAGAGCTCCCCCCCCTCCCAAGCCTCTTCAACAGCCAAAATGTAAAAGTAAACAAAAAACATCTGAAAAAGAAAGAAAAACACGAGGAAAACGTGCGGCACACATCAAAACCCTCGGGCACAGAGCCCTCGGAGAAATAAGAATTCCCTCCCCTCCCCCGCACACAACAAGAAAAAAGAGAACCCCAGCCAGGAATGCAGTCCTCATCT